TCTCCTCCTTCAGAGACAGCCGAAGTTAAAACGTCGAGAGGCTCTCGTGAGACACGGTCGAGCAGCACCGCGCCAGCGTGGCGGAAAAAAAACAGACGCGTGTGTCATCGAAACGACGGTTTTAACACCACGAAGCGCTGGCCCGGTGCAATCAGTCTCGTCACTCTGATGTCGGGGCCCTTATCTGTATCAGCAGGGCCGGATTTTGGTGTTCGTAGGCACTTTCACTCCGAAATGTGCATGAAGAGGGGTGAACGTCAATTGAATGACGTCGATTGACGATGCGCTTTCGTCTATTCTCATGCTAAAACCACGTGATGGATGGAGCGAGTCGGGCGACCTTCATTTCGGTCCTCCTGGTTTCTGGAACAGCCGCTAGACAGCGTGAGACTGTTGATCTGGAGCACCTGGAGTCGATCGCAGGCGTGCTGTTTCAGCAAGTTTTTCGTTAAGTCACTATTAGTGTTTCCCTCCTTCGAAGGCCCTAAAAAAACTTCATAGGCCCTAATGGGAAAGCCCGCACTGTGTCCTAAAAACATGAACAGCGCCGCGTTAAGGAGTCCTGGATCATCGCGGCTCCAAGCACAGCTCAAGGTGTCTGCAGCCCTAGACCCTGCAGATGGGGTGACCGTGATGAGGCGCATTTCATGCTCTGATTACAGACACATCGGGTGGGTCCTGGGAAGGGTACGAAGTGGACACGGGGCACTGTCCCACCCTCCAGTTTACCCCTGCGAGGCTGTGCGTGTGGACGCGGTTAGGACGCGGTGTGGGTTTCTGTGAGGTGCTCCGGTTTCCTCCCACATCCTCGGTGAGATTGTCCCCTCTTAGCCGGCCCTTTCCGGTGCTATTTCATGCCCGGGAAGGCAAGAGAGTGTTCCTCCCAGTCCAACCGGCAGCGGGTGCTGGGAGTTAACACGAATATCTCACGTCTGCGGCCTTCCACGTGCTCTGGAAGTCCAGTAATCCCCACAGCTAGTAAATGCAACGCTGCCCTCTTCTGGCCAGTCCAGGTAATGCACCACGGACTCGATTGCTGCTGTCCGGCAAACATCTGGAGACGGGTCAGAAGCAGGCCCACCCTGATTGATCCTAGGGCTACCCAATCAGTCCAAAGTAATTTAAGATTTTTTTCTCTTGTTTGCGTTACATGATTTGCTTTTTAATGTTACGTTTTTGATTTTTTTCATCGTATGTGATTTGCTATTGGCATATGCAAAGTATGTATTTGACGCTTTTATTAGCAGACCATTCTTGTAATTAAAGGTACAATGAATTGGTTAGCACTGTAATGCGACTATAACAATTCAGTGTTTAGTCTTGTTTTAATCTCATGGCGCCTCACTCGATATTACCCTTGGGGCGATGCATTTACTCCAACCTCTGAAACACGTAAGTGCACGTTCTTCTGGTATGTTTTGCACAAGTCCGCTGAATATTTAAAGACAAGGTAAAAGCTCCGTGAAGTTGCCCCCCTTCAGACAGCACAAAGGTTGGAACCCACCTCATTCGTTAGTGCTAAGCTTGTGCCGGTTTGTGTCGTTGAAAGTAGCGTTTGTGCTGCTTTCATTCTCGAGATATAGAGCCTTGTTTCTCCGGTGATCACGTGACCATGCACGGTGACTTTGACTTCCAGTGACCCCGTCTGCCGAGTTCAAGCGCTCTGTTACAGTTTAGGTCGTACCCGTAATATTTTAAAGTCAATCAATATCCATTAACATATGAGCCTCCTTAGATGTGAATAATACTAACACATGACACATGCCAACAAGTTAACCATCTATGACATAAACCTGTGGTTGTAATGTATGTAAAATCACCGTTTGTAAGATCTATGGTTTTTATTTTCTCAGGCACGTTTTCCTTTTCTTTCCCTACCGTGACACGCTGTTGCCAAACGCGTAACTGTGGGATACCATCGCGACAAGACCTTCGCAGTATGTCATAATAGGGACCCCATGTATTTCGCGGCAGTGTATATCACGACTGGCGCCTTGCTTCCAGGCCACCCTGGCACCGCTGTCGCAACAAAGGTCTCATATCAGGACATAAACCCAGATAGGACGTGTCGCGATATAGATATAGGGTCAGCATATCCTGTCAGGGTATGTCCTATCGCAACATATGCACTCTATGTCGCGACATGGGGCAGGGGAATTTTGTCGGGGTATGTCATATCGCGATATGCGGGCTCCATGTCGCGACATGGGGGTGGGCATTTTTGGCTGGGCGTGTCATATCGCGATATAGGGCCTTTCATGTCGCGACATGGGGCAGGGCATTTTTGCCGGGGTATGTCATATCGCGATATGCGGGCTCCATGTCGCGACATGGGAGGGTGGGCATTTTGGCTGGGCATGTCATATCGCGATATAGGGCCTTTCATGTCGCGACATGGGGCGGGGCATTTTGGCCGGGGTATGTCATATCGCGATATGCGGGATCCATGTCGCGACATGGGGGGTGGGCGTTTTGTCGGGGTACGCCATATCGCGATATGTGGGATCCATGTCGCGACATGGGGGCGGGGGCGTTTTGTCGGGGTATGTCATATCGCGATATGGGGACTTAATGTCGCAACAGTGGCCATGACTGTGATGCGCCAGTCGCAATGGGTATCGCGATGTGATCGTGATGCGGGCACTCCTATCGTGACGTGGTATCGGAGCCGTGAACGCGCTGTGGATGCCATGACGTTCTTTGTCTGCTATTCAGTTTTGACCTCAGTACGACTTCTCTTAGATTGATTAGCAATTGCAAACGAAAGGATGTGTTACTGTATATCCAGCGTGCTCATACAGCACACACGGTTACCCGGGGCTACAGTATTTGGACCAAGAAGAACATCGATCACCTGTGTATCTACATGTTCTCGGAACTTCCGCTGTGGCGCTTTGCCCAATCAGAGTGTCGATTCTCACTCTTCACCCAATCGCGGCCCGACCTGTTCGGGGGTTTAGCCAATCACGGGTCTGAGAGCTGTTCAAGCCAGCAGCGCCAGGTGGATCGGCTTGTTTACTGTCAATGAGGTCAATGAGAATCTATTTTTAAAATGCTTTACTTATTTGCAAAATAACTGCATCAGCTTATTTTTTAACGTCTTTATTGATTCATTCATGTCCCGCACTCTTCGAAATACATTTTTTATTTGCAATATAACTGTCTCCGCTGCTTTCTGCAATGAACACATGGTATTTGAACATTTTTAATCGTATATTTAAGGTAGGGGAAACACCTTCTGCTTTGTACTTCAAAAATGAATAGAAATGTAAAGTCTATGATTATTATATTATTATGCTCGAGCTTTCAATTTTGTTTTTTATTTTTAAATTATATCGATCTTGAAACTAATACCTAAAAATGTGAATATGGGCTCTCGTGTTGTACGAGCGGTAATTTGGAAACGGGTGTCTCTTCACCAGTGAAAGGGGTACACAAGCGATACATTTTCGAGACATGGTTAAAAATTAAAAGAAAACACCTAACCCAATGAACTAACATAGTATCTCCTCCCTAAATGTAAGACTGTTTATTCGCGTAAAGGCTGCAAAATCTGGGGTGAACTGATCAAAAGATCACAACTGAAAGGTCTGGTGGTCGTGAGTTTGCTGTTTTAAAAAAACACGGCGCTATATCTCGGAAACGAAAGCAGCACAAATGCTACTTACAGCGACACAAACGTAGCACTAACGAATGAGGTGGGTTTCATCGCTTGTGCTGTCTGTAAGGGGGGCAACTTCACGGAGCTCAAGGTAAAGCCTGCATGGTATTTTAAATATAATATTTCGGACGGATTTTAAATCTTGCGTTTTGCAATAAAATATTGATTTCAGAGTAAGTCGTAAAACTACTGAACAATCTAAAAGCAGGCATACGAAATACTTAGAACTGTTACCGGCCACAAGTGAAAATGAGCTCGTGCAGCTTTTCTTAAAAACCTTGAAACGCACAGTCAGCTGTTGGAATGTAGCGGTTTATTAATAGCTGTGGGAGTAGAAGATAACTTCGTTCTATTGCATTTGAATGTAGGTGATCTAAATCTTGGGCAGACTTCAGCTGCACCCCAGGGGTGAGACAAAGCAGGCTGGACGTGCAGGGTGCCGCTTGGCGCTTCTTGACTGGCAGGGCAGCTGCAGAAATTGTTAATCTGAAGACAACGGGCTCAGGAGCTGTGGCGTGACACTCGGCCAGCCCTCCTCCTCTGCGGGATCAAAGCAGGGACCCGGAGACGAGGCGTTGCAGAGCTCGCCCGGTGTTGCTGTCTGCAGCGGTATGCCAGGACATCCTCGTCAGCGGCTGCCCGGGTGAAGGCCGCATCAAGGCTAATCAGCGGCGGTGGAGTTACAATCCCATTCCGGGAGAGTCTGACAGCTGCCAGCGGTGAGTAGGGGTGCTGGCGGCTCCCGCCCGCCGAGATCAAAGGCCTGAAGCCGCTCAGAGCCTCCCGCGGGCCTGCAAGACGCCCCCGACGAGAGCTGCCCCACCACCAGCGCGGCAAATCACAGCCCTTCTTTTTAACTGCTCAAGTCACAGAGCCCTCAAAAACCTCAGGCCTCCCAGGCTCCTCGATATCCTTCATCGATACTTGAATCAGTGCATGCCCAGATATCCCTAATCAATATTTCAGTGCATACCCAGGCATCTCTAATTAATATGTAAATGCATACTCAGACATCCCTAATCAATATTTCAGTGTGCACCTGACATCCCTAATCAATATCTTATTGCATACCCAAGGTATTCCTAATCAATCTATAGTGCACAGTCAGACATCCCCAATTAATATTTCATTGCATACCCAGGTATTCGTAATCAATATTTTACCCAAAGTCATATGGAAGCACAGATAAACTTTCCCATCCACAGAGCTAGCCCACTCAGAGAAAACAGATTGAGGGAATCAATATGACATTAATTGGCATTAATAATATAAGAGATTGGTTTGAATAAGACATTAGTTTGGTCCCAAAAGCTTTGAGAGATTACTTACAATACAGGTATTCAACGTACAGCATTTATTTTCCAGCAAATAGGTGTGAATGCATTTGAACACTGTGTAGTTTTTATTATAGCTATGCTATGGAAGTATCCAGTAGTCCTTGTTCTAAATGTTTACCACAATGATATCCATAAACGTTGAGAAACCTTAATGTAAACCAGCATTTTCTTTGCTAAATCAATGTTCAGGTCATCTAGGTATATAAAACGTGGAAGGCTCTTCTGGGGAGCGCAGATGCAGAAATTCTAAGCCTTGCTGTACACTTGCTTTGGTACAAAAATCAACATAATAGACCTGAGCCCTTCAGCGTTGCCATTAAGAACCCACCGGGCTACTCCACCACAGAGTCTGTCTATCGGGGTGCAATATCTCCCAAGCAGTCAATCACCCGCACCAGTCCAGGCAGTGCTGCGGCCACTGGGACATTATGCACAAACGTCTCTTTGCAGTGCCAGAGCAGACAGGTTTGCAGCACTGTACACTTGGCCCTCTTTAGTAGGCTGGGTTCCACTTCCCTCATTTTGGATTCTAATACTAATCTGACCTCTGGGCTGAAGTCTTTCATGGGCTCAAGACAGCCTGTTTCAGTTTCCCGGAAAGACTCCTCTCCAGGAACGGTGTAAGGAGCGAATGACTTTTTTTTTCCAGTTTTTTTGTGCGTTCCCGCGGTCCGGGCAGCCGGGAATGTTGCCCCCCAGGTCTTGAGCTCTTTAAGGCTTGAAGCAGGTGGCACAGCCGCTGGACTCGCGCTTGGCGTTGTTGTTGTGGCCCGGCAGGACCAGTCCCGGGTCCGGGTCTGTGCCGGAGCTCTCCTCGTTGGCCAGGATATTCTCCACCAGGCAACGCGCCGCCGCCTCGATGTTGCTGTTCTCCTGGAAGACACAGGAAGCGGAAGTGAGGATACAAAAAAAAACTCCACAGCAGTTTGGTCATTCCACCCTTTATCAGCACCAGGCTCTTCAGTGTCTGGCAATGGGCAATTCTTGCTTGTTACTTCCTTCAGAATGCACACACATAGACAAGCATGTGGAGCTGAACATCTATAAAACAGGCAGAAAGATTTTGCTTTCCACTTCAGGAGAGCTATTTGTACAGAAGCCCAGAGCTTGTATAGAACCTGAAGTGGCACAAACAGCTTTGCAACAGGGGTCTTAACCTAACCCTGTGCAGTCCAGAGCACTGCCCCCACCTGCTCTCTGCAGTCCAGCCTCTGCAGACAGGAAGACAAACTGTAGCTGGTAATTGCATTGCAGTGCAGTAAAACACGGAGCAGGTTATGTGGGAACAGCTGGTTCTGTGTCATTTTGGGGGACGGGCTGTTTGAAGTGGCAGGCAAACTATTCAGCTACGTCACAGACTGTGACTGCGAAATTCCCCAACCCTGTTTCACCATACCCACACACACAACCCCACCAATCGCACTTGCCCTGAGAGCACTTTGCCGATTTAATTAGAGCCTCCCTGTGACTGGGATGAAGGCCAGCGAGTTTATTTACTCCTGCTTGACTAGAGCAGTGGAGTACAATTTTACAATTTGATCTTGGCTGCCATTCACATGCCTGTCCTACATTCTCTTTAATTAATTCAGCAAAAAAAAAAAAGAAACAGTTTCATGGCTGAGCACTGCAGGGGGCTTGGGTTCAATACTGGACCTGGGGTACCGTCTGTATGGAGTTTGTATGTTCTCCCCACATTAGCGTAGGTTTCCTCCCACAGTCCAAACACATGGTGGTAAGTGAATTGGTCCTGGGAAAATCGGCCCTGTGGGGGTGTGTGTGAGCTTGTATCTGTGTGTTCCCTGCGATGGACTAGCGTCCCACTCAGGGTGTGTCCTGCCTTGTTTCCCCTGCAAACCTGAACTGGATGAAACGGTTAGCCCATGCATGGATGGAAGAAACAGTTTTAGAAAACAGCGGTGCACTTTTACTCCGATCTAGCACCCTGCAGCAGTGAACGAAATCTCAGGACATGAAAGAAGGGTGATGAGACACTTCTGATGACCGCTGCAGAGGTCTTGTTAAAGCATGTGCACGGTTTGAGAATACGATGCCTGTGCCTTTTGCATTAAAGTGGTTATTCAGGGTGTGTCCTGCTTCAATCAGCTAAGATTAACACAGCCCCTCATTGAAACCGAGTGGCTTTGAAGTGGCCATCTAACAGGCACGCATGACGCTAGGAGCAGATGTCACACACATGGTGACGCTTTGCATCAGGTCTCATGACCACAAAACGGTTCTCCCCTCCACCTAGTTTTTGGCCACACACCGATCCCATGTGGAACCGGCATTTCTTCTAAAGCCCCGAAGCTCCAGCAATGACCCCTCAGTGCCCAACTCTGGAGGCAACGTGGGGAGGACTGACCAGCTCCACAGACAGGACAGAACCCAGAGGAGGCATCGGCAGAGCTGTCGATCTGCCACTGCAGATGTCCGTCAGGTCTGAGAGAGCCCTATCCCGGCCCTACCCCTGCGGCGCTGTGCCATCAGTGCCCTGGCACATTGGTGACACGACCCAGCCCCGAGCTCGCTTTCTGGGCTGCAGAGCTTAACGTGCACTTTGGGTCACAAGCCGGCTTTTTGAAGCCCCCTGTGTAACTGCCTGGGCGAGGAAAGTGCTGTGCCGATGGCTTGATTTGTTGTCTGCTCCACATTTCAACTTAAATGTTATTTTAAAAAACACCTGGAGGAAGGGAGGGGGCAGCCTCTGAGACCCAAAGGAGAAATTCTAAAGCCCTTCTCCGTGGCTGAGCCCCTCAGGAATGCACAGGGAAAATTCCCAGCGTCACGGGAAGGCATGAGGAGAAACCTTCACCAGCCTGGGCTTCTCCTGTACTGTGACCAAAGCAATATACTGTCCGCTAGGGGATATCATTTGTTTTACACCACAAAAAAATCAGTGTAACACAATACAATATTTCAGAACATAAAATAATTCTTTTCAATTTTAAAGGATTCTCCAGTTCTATTTTCATTACACCTTGCACAGAGGCGTCTTCCCGATGGGAGTACTGCGTTCTGTCTCTAATTTCAACCCTGGCTTGTTCTATGCATGTGTAAATGCACATGCCTTTCAATTTGCCATTCACTGCCATGCCGATGGGCACAATTGTCATTTTAAACTGTTGCAGCATAGTTTGCAACGCGAGTAAAAAGGCCACTCGTAATGTTTCAATGCAGGTGAGAAGTCATGAAAGATTAATAATTGTATTAGTAATTGATCATCATTAGATATTTCCAAATTTAAACAAACAGCATTTCGGGGTAGCAGCAGCTGACACCCCGCGGATATTGTCATCTTACAGAGATGATGAGAGACTACATGACTACAGCGGCAGTGAATGTAAGGGTACTGCTATATATTACTAATAGCATTATAGTTTTTAACAACCAGAGGCTAGGACTAGCACAGCAGCTGGAGGGAATCTGTGTCTCAAACTTGAATGTGCCGATTAAAAAAAACGATCCCTTCTGTTGCACATCGAGAGGGTCCCTGGTTCGCTACGAGGGGGATCAGATTCCAGTATGGACAGCCCTCACAGGGCAGAGCACTGACAGAGCCGACCCAGCGGGCTTCTTGGGAACCGACAATGGAACATGGACCAGCAGGGGGCGGCGCGTCTCCAGCTGTGTAGAGGAGGCCATCCCAGCCGCGGGGAAGCTGACGTCCCGGGTTCTTTCCAGAAAGAAAGGTTGACATCCTGGGCTCAGCCAGCTACTAAGAGCCTAATGGCCTGGACGGGTGGAACAGCCTAACCTTTGCTATATCCTCGCGGGAAAGGATTAGGGTCGGGGTGCACGTTGGGGTGGCCCCTACCTTGGCGGAGGTCTCGTACCAGCCCACGAACCCGTTGTCCTTGCAGAACGCATCCAGCCTGGGCAGCTGCGGGCTCAGGCCCTCGCGCGATTGGTCCGCCTTGTTGGCCAACAGGACGGCGGGAACGGGCTTGCCGCCGGCCAGGGTCACCTTGGAGTCCAGGTCGCCCTTCCACTTGAGCACCGTGTCGAAGGTGGACACCCTAGTGACGTCGAACACCACGAACGCCCCCACGGCCTCGCGGTAGTACACCCGCGTCATGTTGCCATAGCGCTCCTGACCTGCAGGGGAAGAGAGGCTCAGTGTTGTGCCACGCCCATAGCCACGCCCACAGCCACACCCACCACACCCTCTCCCACGCCCACCCCACTCGCAGGGGCTGGAGCACTGCCTGCTTCTAATCGCCCACTGTCAACTGCACAACAATTTCTTTCTACTGATGAGGAAAGGCAGAGATGTTGAAACGACCTTTTTTTCTGGAAATAAAAAACTCTTAGGTCAATTCATTTCTGATTCTGCTTCCCAGGAGCTCTGAAGTGATCAGAACAATGCGTCAGCGTTTCCTCATCACCAGTAATCAAGAGAATGAGGCCAAACATACAGTGTGGCCACAGTGCAAAAGACATACAGTCTGTATCAGGGCCAATACAGCCAGGAAACGCTTTCTAATGATCTTCGGAGCTTGGAGCACTCTCTCAAATTCCAGTTCTAAAAGCTTTATTGGTCTGATCAAGGAATCGCTGTTTACAGTAAAAGCGTTATGATTATACACTTAAAACAACCAATGTTACTATTTGAGAGGCTCACAGTCCTCAGGCTGTGGCAGGAGATCACATACTGAGCTGCAGCTCTCTTGATCTTCCTCCCCCAGTAGGAGTGGGAAATGCTCTGATCCTGGCAGGAAAGGGGATTCTGGGAATAGATTAGTTATTTTGGGGGAAGAATGTTTGTCTAATCCTGGAGAACTGGAGCACTCCTTGCAGTCTGCCTCTGCCTGTGGCCCGACTGTGGTCACTGAGCCCATACTTTGTCAGGGTGTTTCTCCTTATTATCTCTCACCCTGGTTAGTCACTCAGCCGGCATGTCATTTTCATTTCAGCGTCCTGTGGCATTCCAAAGTTTGTTGTCTCCGTGTGTGTGTGTGTGTGTGTGTGTGTGTGTGTGTGTGTGTGTGTGTCACAGAGGGCGAATGAATGTCGTTCGGCTTGTGCTGTGCTTTCTCTCTCTGTGTGTGTGTTTTAAGGCAGAATCCTCACACGAGACACTGGGAAAAGAAATGTTAGGGAACTGCTGGCACCACACATCCACCTCATGTGATCACAATCCGAGCACAAGACCAGGCTCTTGCAGATTAACCCGAGAGACGCGCTCCTGCTCCGAGTTCTCCGTGGAAGCAGAAGACAAAGAAACAAAGAGAGGGCAGAGGTCGCGAACCGGGCTAAGAAATGTGTAATAACACCAACAGCACAAGACAAGAATGTGTGTCTTGTGACTATAAAACCAGTCTTCATACTAAAGGCAGTGTTATACACAGCCCAGGCCAGTGCTGCAATAAAGCCACACTGCAAAAGGAATATGCCCTTCTAAGTTTGTAATAAAAATCTGACTATCTATCGTCCTGCCAGTTGAAAATGTAACTCAGGGTACTCAAGAGTCTCTGCCCTGTGCAACCCCACCCTCAGTTACTGGGTTTCCAATGTGAGAAGAGCAGGCAGCTCAAAATCTGGATTTAAATCCAGGCTTATTTCTGGTGGAAAGGCACTTTAGTGCAGATCATTACAAACTAGGTTCCGGACCACAGGAGACTACCCTTTCGGTTCTGTTAGTCAGCACTGTAAAATGCAGTCTTAGAATTGAGGCTTTGAGGAAGTTTGAGGAAATCGAGGTCGTGAGTCACCGGATTAAGGCATGCCGTCTCGTGTTGCTGCTGCCTTTGGTTTTGACTCTTTTGATTTTTAGGCACTTTGAGGTGATGATTCGTGAAAGGCGCTGTACAAAAAGCGTGCGTGATTGATGTCAATAGGCAGATTTTGCTCAGCGAATTAGCTTTCTATGCCTTTCAGACTCGTGATAAATGTTATAAACGCAGGACCTTTGATCTGATAAGAAATTACAGGATATCCCGAACTAACACAGAAGGCGATAACACAACCGGATTTACGCACGATTCATCTTGTGCATCGATCTTTTCAAGAACATTTTATCGCGTCGACTGTTAATATACCTAATACTCGAGTAAGACAATCACCGGTGGTCCTGTTGCGAAAGACGACTTTGTTGGCACTATACCCCCAAATTCCACAGAACTGGCTGGCGGGGGTTTATTGGGGAGGGTCTAGGGGAGACAGGATAGTTAACTTTTTTTTTTTGGGTGACGGTAGCTCGCTTCATCCCCAAAAGTAGCAAATAACGCAAGACGACCACCTGAGGTCAAAACGAGGACGTATATCAGCACGCTGGACTGTAATGCCGGAGCGGGGAGGAAACACGAGGTTAAGAAGCAGTAAGAGTCGCCTCACCTGCAATATCCCAGAGCTGGAGTCTGATCACCGTGTGGTCGTCCCAGCTGATGACTTTGAGCGCGAAGTCGACGCCGATGGTGGCCCTGTAGTGCTGGGAGAAAATCTGGTGCACGTAGCGCTTGATGATCGACGTCTTTCCGACCCCGAGGTCTCCGATCACGAGAACCTTGAACAGGAATTCCTTCTGCGGCTGGTCCATGATCGCTCACCCCTGGCACCTCTTCTGCGCGGGTTAACGTGGAGCAATATCGCCCCAGGCCGGTTTGGTTTCGCAGGTGGGCTGGCGTCAGTTTAAATGCATCTCATGAAGTCACCTTCGCAAGTTTCGAGCAACTTTCGCCTGGTTTTAATTCTCCAGGCACAGATAACGGAACGCGGCGCGTATTTCCAATTCCAGCGTATTCGAGAGTAAATGAAAACTATAACACGGCTGATGTTTATTTCTCCTTTACGTCGGAGGTGTTTATCTGATGGATTTTGCCACAGTTCTTACTTTTTTTAGATTCCTTCGGTCTTTATGACATAAAGTTCTTAACAAATATTTTTCTTGCTTCCATAATGGTACCCGATGTAATCTGCGTATCTGTTTCGTTTATTTTGGAAAATTTAAATTTAAATGTTATTAGGGCTGCTCTCTTTTAGGGCTGCTCTCCCACCGGTATCTAAAACTCTCCTCTGCCAACTGCCACTGTCAGAGGCTCAGCTGCTCAATAGCTCTCCAATACGGCCCCACCCAATTTGGTGTTGAAATGCATGGTGGGAGTTGTAGTTTTGTTTCAGAAAGTCAGCACGGGTAAAACGGAAAACGTACTTCAATACCCAGCATCCACCACAAAGGGCGTGCTTACATCTGGGTTTTTTTTACAACCACGTGTTATGTAAACATCTGGACGAGGAGCCAGGATTCGTCAGGTTTATTTAAACTGCTGGACTGAGAAACTTCAGCACTGAATTTAAGATGTTGTTCAGACTGTGCTTTAAAATTGAGATTATCTTTTAGAACTGCAACACATTCACAGTCACTAGTAAATATGCCAATGTAAAAATCTTCTTTTGCAGCAGCTGCACTGACACTGTATTGAACAGACATGACCGAGGTAGATGCATTTTGCTGATTAATATTTCTCATCAACAGGGAGTCAGCTGGGAAAGTCACAGGCTGGTACAGGAGATGCCTCTGCTGGAGAAAATTCAGGAAGAACCCCTGTGACCCCTAGAGTTCCTGCTGTACCCCTGTGACTCCCGGTGAACCCCTGGGGCTGCTGTAGTACCCCTGGGACTACCGGTGTAGCCCTTGGGCTGCTGCTGTACCCCTGTGACTCTCGGTGTACCCCTGGCGCTGCTGCAATACCCCTGGGACTACTGGTGTACCCCTGGGGCTGCTGCTGTAGATTCACCCCAGTCCTCCTGCAGAGCCGGGACAAGCATGAGCCCGTTCTCTGGGCTCTGAGCCCCGGCTGCCACACGTCCCAGCTCCTCCCACGCGTGTTCAGTGCAGCTGCAGTCTGGGGGCTGGGACAGCCGCAGCACAGCGGCCCGGATCTGTTCCTGGGCAGCAGGAGGACTGGAATGGGCTCCCATCAGGAGGAGCTCCCGGGACTTGATCAGTGTAGCGCCTTGCAGTCAGGATACCCTCAGTCACTGCTGGGGGAGTCCTGTAGAGACGGGACACTTCTGCCCAGATGTCACGCTTGGACTTCTCATTGATCTTGGTGAAGTGTCGTAGCCCATGGGGTGCCAGATCTCCCCTGACCATCCACAGACTGTGCTGAGCTGCAATGTCTCGGCAGGCTGTGAGCTCCACAGAGGGCAAGCAACATTCTGCCGATTGGGCCCGGCGTCCAGCGTACCCACGACAGGAAGGCGTGAAACTCTTGATAAATGGGGTGAATGGGTTCCTTTCTTTGTTTTTCCTTCTTTATCACCAGGCCTGACATTCAGCAGACGAGATCGCCTCATCCCCAGCACCCACTCAGCTCTCTCTCACTGGCACGGCGACTTAGTGCTTGTAAAAACAGCACCGTGGGGCACTCAGCCCTGAAAGATCAGAGTGCGCGAATCGACAACAAAACATGTTCATGAACAGCCACACATAACTGCATAAAGAGCACGGTGATTTTATGTTGATGCTCAGTATTCTGCAAAGCTGCAGAAACCAAGCAGGTGAAAGGAAGATGAAGGCAGGTCTGAGTGGTGTAAGAGACAGACCCTGCATTGGGGGAACAGGCTTTCCAACGAAGTGATGGAGGCCCAGGCTCTGGGCTCCAGACTCACATGGGGAAGCTGCTGATGCACCCTAGATGTACTGTACCATTTCACTCCCATTTACTGTAGTAAAATGCTCAGCTTTTACTACAAAAATACATTGCTTTGGATAGAAACAATGCCTCGATGTATTAGTGATAAGGCTGGTTTTTAAGTGCCAGAGGCATGAGAAGTTGAACATGAGAAAAACTATTAAAATTTACATTTAGACGGATATCAAAATGCCAGCTCCTGTTAGACCCTCACTGATAAGGAAATTGGAGTGTATGCTCACATCTGATTGTCTCTGTATGCTTTGAACTATCAGATTTGAACTAAATTTGCATGTTAATAGAGTTTTAATTAGAATTAATTCCAGTGCTAGGAGGCAACGCTACTCAATGATTGGTGCTCTGTCTCAAATCTGAGCAGGATTTACTTTAAGTTATTAAAGTATTAATTTCAATGTTTTTTTAGCCAATTACTTGTAAAGCAATTTCTGTGGTTAACATTAATTTAAACGAAATTAATGTAATTTGGATGAGACTTGGGGTCAATATATTTGCCCAGGATAAAAAAAAAACAGGAAATACCGTTTTCAGAAGGTTGGTAACTTATATCATGATATTTACGGTAACTGCTTTGCGCATGTTGTGTAGGCGTTCCACAGGAAGTGCGTATTCCGCTTCTATTAGGAGTATTATGGCGCTGGTGCTGATGCTGAATGAGTCAGGCTATTTGATGCTGTCGCTGCTGCCATTTCATCAGCAATTTTTCCCAAACATCTCTCCATCTTTAAACATGGGAAAACTGGGATAAAATATTCCAGGTACGGGAAGAGAACGCAGTTTGTTTTACATTGTGAAGAATACATCTCTAAATTCTGAAATAGTTTTTTTTCCCCCAACAAAATAAAGCTAGCTGGCTGGAGGGCGAGCGTATTTTTCCCTTACGAGAGGTCGCTGTAAGAGTAACTGGATTTTGTTTTCCATTAAACATTTCGGGATAAGCTTTTATGCTTTCCTTTGGACTTCCTAATCTGTGTGCATTTTCCGAGAGGACGTCTGTTCTGGACGATGGAATCTGCAGGCTACACACTCTGAGAAGCTTAACCGTGCACGGTAATTATGTGTAATTATTACATCGTCTCTTATTTTAATGCTTTCGTTGCCACCGTTTAAAGTTAAGAGTGTTGTCACAAGGGGCCTTGTATGTAGTTTCACGGTGTTTTAAAAATACTCCCCCAGGTTCTTTGTATTTAAATACACGGTATTTTATAACAAAGCTCGATTATTTTATGTGAAGAAAAGTAGGCGGTAGTTCCGTGGTGTTCAGCAGATTTCGTTCTTGACGTTGTGTAACGTGAGCCCCAATACTACCAAAACTAACATGAGTAATATCGTTGGGAAATTATGCAAAGCTTAAAAATCTTGTGTCCACAGACATTTCGTGCTGCCGATATTTGCAAAATGGAGGCTGTTCTGACCTTGGGGCTCTCCGAGACACATTATCTGTGTGTTTGGAGGCTGAAGGAGCTGTGTCCTGCTCGCATGCGGCCACTACAGCGTCCTCTCTCGCATTTCCAGTTCGGTATCAGCGCACAATAGAGCGGAGACACGATCATCTGGGAGCTGAGCAGAGCATTTACACGTCGTGCGAGTGGCGCTCGTCGTTATTTTCGGGCGAGAAACGACGAGCAGCTTAAGCCATTTCCGCGCCACTTAAACTGGAGGCAAAATGAAGCAACCCCCCCCCCAGAACAAAAAGGGAAAAGGGGGTGTATTTAAAATATCCACACAGCTGTGTTTTCGAATGAGCCACGCGAGGCCTCCAGCATCGGGCAGTAGCTCAATTTTCCTTGGGAGTTTCACACACAGTTGCAAGTTTTCCTTCTTGTAAAAAAAAAAAAAGCGTCTTTCCTGGATTTAATCGCGTAGTATCCTGGCGCCTGACTGTGGGTCTTGATTGGAACCCCGGCCGAAAAAAAATAATGTAAGTGCTATAACAAAACGTGCACAAGCAAACGGGACTGTATTTCATTTACAAGGTTTAGTGAAGAAACCTCTGCGTTGTGTAGCTGATTTTAATTTATTTGTATTTTTCTTCCGTCGTGCTAAAGCAAAAGCGTACACACGATGTCTGGGGCCGTCTAAAAGTGTCAACAGAGCGCCGTAATCAGCACGGAACAGCACTGGAGTCCAGCACTTTGGCAGTACTGCTGTGCAGACAAAGAATCGCCGTGTTTTTGCTCCAGCCGCCCCTCGTTTAAATTCAGAAGCACCTCTCTCTTTGCTTATAAAAAAAAAAGCCGAGGGTAGGGGGCGGAGGTGGGCTCTGTTGACACTTTTACCGGGCAGCTGAGCACTGCGGGTTTGGTTTGCTCTGTGTGACAGGCTGGACAACATGGAGGCTATATGGCTGTATCAGTTCCGGCTGATCGTGATCGGAGACTCCACCGTGGGGAAGTCGTGTCTGATTCGGCGGTTCACCGAGGGACGGTTCGCTCAGGTCTCTGACCCGACGGTTGGCGTGGACTTCTTTTCTCGCCTGGTGGAGATCGAGCCGGGGAAGCGCATCAAGCTACAGATCTGGGATACCGCCGGCCAGGAGCGATTCAGGTACCGGGAGAAGGGGCGTGTTTCTTGCGTGCGTCTCTTCGCCTGCTTTGAGTTTTGTGTATCAAAAAAGTTGCTAAAAAAAGGTGGTCTGTGGTGCTACAAACCCCACTTACCAAATTCTTATATGATTTTAAGCCCCCCCCCCACATAAAAAAAAAACTTGTACGAATTCTTGCGCGTACCCACAAAATAACTCCGGCAAGCCGGCAAAATGCGTTTGGAAGAGTTTTTCCCCTAAAAAGACGCATTTCACGGTCGCGTTTATAAATCCGGCGATTAGATTTTGTCTCCAAAAAATACAGTAGATTACCTCACCCGTATTTCCGCCGGTCCTCAGCGTCAGCTGATGTGGGCAGGAATTCGTAAATGAAAAGCCGGCGTTTGGAGACAGTGGGGTGATTACGCCCCAAGAATAAATCTTGGCGTCTGTGCGCTAATTAGGACAATGACATCAAACAGCGACAGGCAGAGAACCCGGGGGCGTGATGATGACGTCCGCGGTCGTTTTAATAAGAAATAGAAATACCTATTCAACGGTGCATGGTATAATCGTCTGAGTATTTTTTTTTTCTTTTAAAACACGAGGTTTCGTTTTAAGGAGCAAAAAAAAAAAGTATTGATTCGTTTTCAGCCCGATTATGCCGGCGATGAGTCCAGCCATTTTTAATACCGGAATCAGTCAGCGTAAAAAAATAGTTTTTTTTTCTCAACTTGAGTAACTGTTACAGTGAGATTTAATTAGCCTGTTCTGAAACACCCTCAAATTTCAGGCTGTCACACTTTACCATGAAGGGGTATTTCTATAAAGTAAGGATAAATCACAAAACCATTCCAGTGGCAAACGCGGTGTTGCCTCAGTGACTCCAGTACTCTCTCCCTTCTGTTATTCCGAAGATTACTCCGTTCAGCCTTTGCAGCGGTTACAGCAGTGCAGATGAAGAAGTTATTCCACCCCGGGCAATATTCTTTGTCGAGTCTCCTGCTTCAGTTCGATATTTAGGGTCACAGCCTGACCCTATATTCCAATAGTCAGCCGTGCTTCGAAAATGACACCTCGGGGCGCACAGAGACCGCCCGCAGAGGCAGAAATCCGATGTGAAAACTGAGGAATTCTGCAGTTTTGCGGGCTACTTTTCATAGTTCTATTTATCATAGCTACTGTATATCACCCTGCAACTCACCACTGGCAGCCCACTGGAGCTCAGCGGGTCTGAGCCTGGTCAGTACCTGGATGGGAGACTCCTGGGGAAAACTAAGGCTGCTGCTGGAAGAGGTGTGAGTGGGGCAAGTAGGGGGCGCTCACCCTGGGGTCCATGTGGTTCCTAATGCCCCAGTATAGTGACGGGGACACTATACTGTAAACAGGCGCCGTCCTTCAGATGAGACTTAAAACCGCGTTGATGAAAAGTCCCAGGGCGTTTCTCGAGAAGAGCAGGGGTGTTACCCCAGTGTCCTGGCCAAAATTCACCCCAGGTCTTTACCCATCATGGCCTCCTCATAACCCCCATCCCTGAACTGGCTTCATCACTCTGTTCTCCCCCCCACTGAGAGCTGGTGTGTGGGGAGCGTACTGGTGCATCATCCAGGTGGGGGTACACACTGGTGGTGGCGGTGGAGGGGATCCCCATGACCCGTAAAGCGCTCTGAGAGGAGTTTCCGCGGCCCAAGTGTACAGATTATTATTTATTAGATCGCCATCCTTACAGCAGGGCGTTGCTTAGGCTCCTAAAGCTGTGCGAGCCGCTCGTGTTTTTCCTGCTGTCCTGCTGACCCCAAGCCCCTCTCCCTCCCCCCCCCCCCGCAGGTCCATCACCAGGGCCTACTACCGCAACTCGGTGGGCGGGCTGCTGCTCTTCGACATCACCAACCGGCGCTCCTTCCAGAACGTGCACGAGTGGCTGGAGGAGGCGCGCAGCCACGTGCAGCCGCTGCAGATCGTCTTCGTGCTGGTGGGGCACAAGTGCGACCTGGAGGCCCAGCGGCAGGTGGGCCGGCAGGAGGCGGAGAAGCTGGCGGGGGCCTACGGCATGCGCTACGTGGAGACGTCGGCCCGCGACGCCATCAACGTGGAGAAGGCCTTCACCGAGCTGACGCGCGACATCTTCGAGCTGGTCAAGCGCGGCGACATCACCATCCAGGAGGGCTGGGAGGGGGTGAAGAGTGGCTTCGTGCCCAACGTGGTGCACTCGTCCGAGGAGGTGATGAAGAGCGACCGCCGGTGTCTCTGCTGATCTGCCGAGCCCCTCCCCTCCCCCCCCACTAAGCTGACCTCTCGGGCCCCCCCCTCCCCGCTCTCCCCCTCTTCCTGAGGGGCCGCAGGCCTGCAAGACAAGGCCCGCGTGGCTGACCCACTCTCCCAGTGCCCCCCAGTGTGGTGTTTTCCTTGCTTCAGCCAGACAGGCTGGGGGCTGCTTGCCCTCTCTCTCCCCCCCTCCCCCACCGAGACCCTCTGATGACTCGAAAGCTGCCTCCCTCCCCCGCGCCCACCGCGGAACATCGTTCACCTGCCCGTGCCTGCGCCGCCACACAGACTCCCATCGGCGCGGACCGCTCCCAGTGCCAACCCCGGCCCCCGCGGCCCGGCCTCGCCTCTCTCCCGGTGCGGCAGGCCTCTCGCTCGCCGGGCTTCTGGGAGGCAGAGGCCCGTGACGGAGAGGGTGAGACTCCCAGCGGGACACCTAAGAGGGCCGGGACCCCCCTCCCCCCCCCCTGCCAACGTGTTGGGCCACTTGGATCCCCCCCCCCCGGTGAGGGGGGAGAGGGGCCAGGCGTGGTGATCGTGAGCCGATCGAGGGCGCCAGTCTCTCGCCACCCACGCGCACCGGCGCAAACTCAAGACACCAGCCATTACAAAGCACAGGCCGCCCCCCCCCCGGCAGTGTAAGAACTTGGGAGACCAACCAGGACTTGTGACCACACCCGTCTTGCAGTTTGAGCGGCAGACAGTGCTGGCGGTGAACCGCGCTCACCCGGAGACTGCAGCCAGTTTTTAAAAGAAAATGAAAACCGACGGTCACCATTTGGGGGGAATCTCACCGGGACGTGAAGAGCCGTGCTTGTTCTCCTGCCTCTGCCTCTGCAGCCGTTGAACACTCATTTCTAGGTTGTTGGTTTTTTTTTCTTCTGGGCTTTTAAGTGGGCTTTGAGTTGGTCATCCGCATGGTACACAACCCCAGCGAGCCAGGAGCGCTGGGGGGCAAGGGGGAGGAGCAGTCGGACCCCCCCCCGCAGGCCTGAGGTGAGCGCAGAGCAGGGGAGACCCACGGGCGCCGGCCAGAGGCAGCCTGCTCGCGGCACGCCCCGTGATCAGAAGAGAAATGGAAACGCTGAAAACAAACGTTAAAAGAGGCAAAGGGATTGGTCGGGGAGGTGTGGGTCTGTCTCCACCCCACCCCCCACCGGAGTCCACTTGGATTTTTGGGGGTGCTCAGCTGCCCCCCCAGCCCTCAGAAAAGGCCCACTTTACTCTCCATGCTCTGCGTTGACCCCAGGTCTCCACTGTGGACTGAGTGAACCCGACACAACCTGCCCCTGCCTGTGTGTGTGTGTGTGTGTGTGTGTGTGTGTGTG